GATGTTCAGGATTTGTGTGGTACAACAAAATACAATTAGAATAATATATATAATTGTTTGAAAAATATATTAAAAAAATACACATAATATTAAATAGAAACCCTTTTGATTTAAAATCTTAAAACTAAAATATTTTTCAGCCAAAAGAATTATTGACAATTTAATAATATAAATTTTTAAAAAGTATATGGCAATAATTATTAAAAAAAGTACATAATACATGTATAATTTATTGCTCAGATTCACACATAAAATAGTATTTTAATAAAAATATACACACAAAAAAAAAACACATATTAAGCAATGTTCATTAAATAATAAAATGTATTTATAATAACCAAACATTTATTTTTTACTCTAAACGGTAAAAAAAGAATTACTGTAAAAGAAAATTAACCAGGCCGAGTATTAAAGCGTGAAAATGGCGGAAGGGCAGGTAAGAAACGTGACCTTGCTTCCACATCCCTAGAGCCGGAGCCGCGTTTCTGTCATCCCTGTCAAACACAAAACAATCTCTCTCTGTAACCATCGGCTTCCTCTGCACTCAGTAAGGTCTGTATATTTTCTCTCATCTTTCGATTCTCTATGCTTCTCCGCTGAATTTATGGCTGAAATTTCCACTTATTTATCCCAGGATTTTGTATCATTTCTTTCTTTATCTTTGGGTTCTTTTTACAATCTTTAGGTTCTGTTTGCTTTTATTTCTTGTATTTTCGGCCATTTTCTCTTTTGCCGACATTTGTATATGCATATATAATATTTTATATTTATTTGGAAATTGAGACATTTATATATTAAAAGCTCAAAAACCCTAATACAACTTAGCTCAGTTATCCTTTTCTTTTCCCCCTGTTAACTCTTCCCCCGACAAGTTCAACTCAAGTTCTGCAAACCTTTTATTCGTTTCCGCTCTTCATCCAGTCACCCGCCGTCTCACTGTCCGTGCAGGTGCGGCGCCGAGAAACAGCTATTTGTCCTCGAAGGCTGCCGCGCATCGCCGCTCGTGCAGTCCTGCTTGCTCCTTGGATCTGGTAAAGATGCATATCTTGTTTTATTTCTTCTATTAACGAGATCTTTAAACTCAGACTATACGCGATCTGATCAGCTGTTCTTTTGTTTGTCTGCTGGTCTTTTTTGCATAGATAAAAATAATATCTATTCGCCAAGGAAGTGTAAACCTATGTACAAAAATAGTTACATGGAAGCAAAATATCATTAAGGTCGCAAGAATGAATAAAGAAGATGACCCTTAATCAGAAAACTTATGGTCTGGAACCGGGTGTCCTTATCAAAGATTAGCTTATATTTCCAAACCACCGTAACCAGGGGTGGTGAGGCCTACAGATTTCTTTGCTTTACTAAAATACCTTTCCGCGCCCAAGTCTCCTGCCTCAGTGAACCAGCCATCACCCATTTCATACCTAGGAGACACACTCCAAGACAAGAGGATATAGTTGTACGATTCCATATCCCTTTTACGCAAAAAGCAACCATTAACAGGAATCTTACCCCCGCCAATCAGCTTGTCCAATGTTAGAATGCACTCTCTGGTTGCCTCCCAAGAAAAAAAAAGAGCTATTCTGGCCCGTCTGCGTCTTTTTTGACGAGTTAGGTTTATACTGCCTCCATACTGGTTCTGCTTCTTGCCTCTGGTGGGCAGACCAGTGGTACTGTTCTGAACCGTTATGCTCACAAATTATAGAAACTTGTTAACCATTTTAGATTCTTGCACGAACCTTTGCCTGTTTCCATTTACTGATTATTGCTTCCACAGTTTGTTATGTCTTTTTGGGTAAAGTTCAAATTTCAGTGTTAGGGTTGTGCTGCTTATCTCCTCTCAGGGTGGGGGTTTTGGGATTAAAGTTTTACTTTTACCTCATGAATATTTGTTAATGGAACCATAGGAGGGTTGATGAGGATCATAGTACTTTTCTGTGGTAGAACTTTGGGATTTTGGTTGTTTGGTTTTATTCCCAGGGAATTGGTAAGGGATATGGTTCATATGGAAGTAATGGATTTGCAAAGTGGCTGTATGAGGTGGTGATTGATTGAAATTCGTTATATGATTGTGATTGTTAATTATTACTCGGGACTGTAGCTTATTTGATTTGGATATTTATTGCTATGATTTCAAGGTTGTTGACTTGGCCGGTAGTTTATCCCTTAATCTAAGTGGCTGTTTGTGTTTTTTTTTTTGGGCATGTGATATAGTTTTTTGCATTTTGAATGATAGATACTTAAGCTTACCCAGCAGTACCTTCAGAAACAACCAAAATGTCTCGAAAGGGATTGATGGAGCAAGACTTAAGTAAACTGGATGTGACTAAGTTGCATCCACTCTCTCCTGAGGTTATATCTCGTCAGGCTACAATAAATATAGGTAATGATCATGTATCAAGAGTTCTCTGAGTGTTTAGCCATCATTTATTTCATTAACAATTCTGCTTAATATTGTTTATTTAGAAAGAATATTGTTTATTTCAGCTTGATATCTTGTTCTTTTTCTTCATAGGACCTAATATAATTGTAAAGCTGATTTATCGATAATTCAATTTTATCATTACAGGCACTATAGGTCATGTGGCTCATGGAAAGTCAACAGTTGTTAAAGCAATATCTGGTGTTCAGGTTATTAAATTCTTCTTTTTCACTTTGAACTGCTTGTACTTGAATTCTGCATCTTGTTTCTTCTTGGAGCTTGCATTCTTTATCTTACCTATTGTGGTTTTGTTTATTTGTTGATTTCCCGAGTCCCTTAAGATTTGCCCTGTTTTGCAATTTTTATATATAACCCCTTTTTGGTGTTTATCTTTTGTTTGATAGATTTCATGAAACATGCGATGGTTATTTTTATCAGTTTAGTTGATGTCCTTGAATAATCAGAACCTAGAGATATGGTGTAGTATGATTTTGAATCTCTGTCACTTATAAATGGGGGAGATGCAATGTATCTCAGCGATACTTGTGTTCATGTTTATGACAATATTGATAGTTTAAGGGTATGTTTGCATGGAGCTAGATGAAAGAGGATAAAGGGGTGGAAATGAAAATAATTTTAGATAAGGAGAAGAATGGAGGTTTAAAATTGTAATTTATCTGGTTTGGGAGTTTAACCCCCCCTATTTCTCACTCTATGAATATTGTAATTCCTCCAAATTGGGTCAAATGGAAATACAATTAAATTAACTTTGCAAAGATATGATACTGTACTTTTTCTCCCCAATAGCAGAACTTTAAGTAATTCTTCTTCTATTTACTTTCTCTTCTATTTTTAAGCATTCAAACAAGAGAAAGGAAATAGTATCCTCCCTCTTGCTTGCCGCCATTTCCATTTCTTCTCTTCTCTTCTAATGAATAACCATGCACTAATGTGCTAGTTAGTGATTATGATGACCGGAATTTATACCTTGGGTCCATGTGGTATTGCATCGTGTTCTTAAATACTGGGAATTTAATTTGTAAATTATGCATTTGAAATGTGAAAAAAAGGGTGCCTGTACATTTCTGAAGTGATATTCCTTGGTTGTGTGGTTTTAGTACATTTTTGGCTTGTATATAGATGAAAATATGCTTTAAATGGGAGTGTGCTGAGTTAACAGAAGTCTACTTTCGTATATGTTTTTAAGTTTACTTCACAATATTCCATCTTTCTGCAGACTGTTCGTTTCAAGAATGAATTGGAGCGCAACATCACTATTAAACTAGGTTATGCAAATGCAAAGATATATAAATGTGAGGATGAGCGTTGCCCTCGGCCTATGTGCTACAAGTAGGTTGATATTTAAAGAATGCGACTATTTCTAATTAATGTTCGCAATTTAATGTGAATGTGGAAACTGTTTTGTAGGGCTTATGGAAGTGGAAAGGAAGACAGTCCACTTTGTGATGTTCCTGGATTCGAAAATGCCAGAATGAAGTTGCTGAGACATGTTTCTTTTGTGGATTGCCCAGTATGATACTGAGTGCTACATTTGTTACATGGTGTTAAAGTTTATGTGCTTGCTTTTCGATCTTCAATGTTGTGCGAAAAAGTAGTTTATTAATTGATTATCACTTGAACCTTCTGGAATTTCTTCTGTCAAGAGTTGGAACTTCCTATTCCATGGATTTTTTTTCTGTGTGTGTGAGTGCCTTAGAATCAAAATTCTCACTTGGCCAATATTTTTGGGAAGATTGGGGGTGGGGAAAGCTGTGACTCACATTTTCTTCTTCATTCTACAAATGTTGCTATATAAGTGAACAAGTGATGCATTGCTAACCGAATGCTAAACCGTTAATCTGATGTCTGTTTCGCTCCCCTTGTCAATAGGGTCATGATATTCTCATGGCTACAATGCTTAACGGAGCAGCGATTATGGATGGTGCGTTACTTCTTATAGCTGCTAATGAAAGCTGTCCCCAACCTCAAACCTCCGAGCACCTTGCTGCTGTTGAGATTATGCGTCTTCAACATATAATTATACTCCAAAATAAAGTTGATCTCATTCAGGAAAATGTGGCTATCAATCAGCATGAAGCAATTCAGAAATTTATTCTGGTTAAATCTACCTATACATTTTCTCCTTCATTGCAATGGCATTGATGGTTTAATATATTTATTATTTGAAACATAGCTGAGCATTTATTTTTGCCTGGTTAACAAAATCAGTTGGATAAGTTGCATTAACAAATGTTACTTTACAGGGAACTGTTGCTGATGGTGCTCCAGTGGTTCCAATTTCAGCACAGTTGAAATATAATATTGATGTTGTTTGTGAGTATATTGTAAAGAAAATCCCTATCCCAGAGAGGAATTTTGTATCACCGCCAAATATGATTGTGATCCGGTCCTTTGATGTTAATAAGCCTGGGTTTGAAGTTGATGAGATAAAAGGTGGGGTGGCTGGTGGAAGCATCCTCCGGGTATGTGTTTTGTTATCGGTGTTTCAAATGATCATTGCTGCATATGGTTTGGAATTCTAAGCTAGGCTATATGATTTTATAAAATGGTTGAATTTCTGATGGTTGAGTCACCTATTTTACATGTAGAGAAATGTATATATCCTCATGCACAACTTTATCGTAGTTTTAGATAAAAGGTCCACTGTTAAGGGAGATTTTTTGGAGAATGATTTTTGAGTGTGGTCCTTTCTTTTCTTTTGTGACTACATATTTTATCTTCGTAAAGAAGGGAGTTCAGGTTTTATCCTTCTTCTTTCTGTATTTTCTATTGGTCAATTAGCATCTGTTTCACATTTGGCAATTGATTTCTGTTTCTTGCAGGGTGTTTTGAAAGTTAATCAATTTGTTGAGGTTCGTCCCGGAATTGTTGTTAAAGATGAAAGTGGAAACATTAAATGTACACCGATATATTCTAGAATTGTTTCATTGTATGCTGAACAAAATGAGCTACAATTTGCGGTGCCAGGGGGTCTTATTGGTGTTGGTACAACCATGGACCCAACTTTGACTCGTGCTGATAGGCTGGTGGGTCAGGTCCTTGGGGAGGTTGGGTCACTCCCTGAAGTCTTCGTTGAGCTTGAGGTATGAAACGGACTGGCAACAACCTTTTTCTTCTATTAAATGAGCATGCATAAACCCATTTCTTGAAAGCTTGTAATGCTTGATTTAGTTACTTGTGTAAGTATTTTGGTTTTCAACTTTGTTTTTTGTAGGTTGAGTCTGTTTTGTAGGGTAGCAAGGCAAGGCATAGGGAAGTAACGAATATGTGGGTGGTTACACGTTCATGAATCTTCACATATATGTTCTTGTTGTGTCTGTGGTTGTTAAACCAAAACACAATCTTTTCAATTCTTCCTCACAGTTGTATTTATATCTTATTTTGGCATAAGAAGTGGAGCTTCATGTCTGTTTCATTTAAAAATTAGTGCACCTGTTGGATTACTTAATGTTTTCATTATTATGCTCTGACGAGTATTTGCAATCTGATTATTCAGGTGAATTTCTTCCTGCTCCGACGGCTTCTTGGTGTCAGGACAAAAGGATCAGAGAGACAAGGAAAGGTCACAAAGCTTGCTAAGGGAGAGATTCTCATGTTGAACATAGGATCTATGTCAACTGGGGCCCGAGTTATTGCTGTGAAGAATGATCTGGCCAAGCTGCAACTAACTTCTCCTGTATGCACCAGCAAGGGGGAGAAGATTGCACTGAGTCGAAGGGTCGAGAAACATTGGCGTCTTATTGGTTGGGGTCAGATTCAGGCTGGAACCACCCTTGACGTTCCACCCTGCCCCCTCTGAGAAATCATATACAGGTACAGACAAGGTAGAAAAACCTATAAGAAATCAGGAAAGAGAGAGGGTTTGGTGAGATGTGGGAAGGTAGGCAATTTCTAGGAACCATTTTTGTTAGGTGGAGAAGAAAACATGCTACGATGGTGGTTATTATTCATATTTCTTTCTTTCTGTTTGTTGTTATCGTTTGCCTGATTTTTACATTTCAGAGTTTTGAAGTGATTTTCGGGTTCTATAATGGATGCAACTCTATAAAACACAAGAACTCTATGCGATTGTTGTTGATACAGTTTATGAGATTAGCGGGCTGTTTGGCAGTGTTGCCATTGCCATGACTGAGTTGTCTAATACTTTGTGATTGCAAGTTAGGAAGAAGGTACTTGGATGAACAAGTTCTTTCCCTTCCCCACAATTCATATATTTCGTATCTCCTCTCTGAAACTGATTGGTGCTTTTGGCTGCGGTTGGGAGGTCGGTGGGGATTCTCGTGCATTTTGTTTCTTGGTTTGAAGAGAACAATGAAATAGGGCATATTTAGGTATAGTTCCAAATGTTGGGTGCATACATCAAGTATAGAGGTCTGCTGACAGAGGGAGTGGGAGAATGCAGGCAGCTAATAGAGGAAGGCGGTAGAAAAAGAAAGGAAGAAAAAAAATTAAATGTTCAAATTAGTTGAGTTGCTTAAAAATTAATAAAAATTAGTCAGGTAATTAATTAGTTGAGTTGCACTTCAAACGGTGTATGGTGGAATTTAATATAAAGGGGTAATGAAAATTAAAGATTTTAAAGTATAATTCTCTTAATAAATAATAATTCATTAATACATATGGAATATTATTTTTTGTCTATTATTATTTAATTATTAGTAAAATACTTCAAATTTATTTCACTTTTTTTGTTGCAAATAAATTACATAAAAATTATAAAATTTGTTTCCAGCACAATCTTAATCAATTAGTTAATTAATTGAATACGATGAGTATGATTAATATAAAATTGGAATGTTAGAGCAAAGGGACCACAAAAGCACTATAAAGTAATTTGGTTTGAAGAGCTGAATATTCCTTTCTAAGCTCTAACAAATGGCTTCTGCTCTTTCTCTCTCTCTCTATATAAACATATATATATATCTACTCCATATGGGAATAGTAAAAAAAGTGTTGCTAAGCTAGTGTACCCAATCATTAGAGTTCTGGACCAGTCTCCACTCACAGCTAATTTCTTTACACACACACATATATATATATATATATAGTGAAGGAGTTGCATGCAGCAACTTGTACCTCGTAGACAGGCCCCTATACGTAATCCACTTTGGAAGAGACAAGTTACGCATGCATGCAGCTTTCATTTTGGCTTAATTCTTAGGTCAAAATTAACCACAAAACGAAGGAGGCGTGCATGGCGAGATTGGACCCTTTCACATTATTAATCCATAATCACAACCCCCAAACAGATCAGCTTCCAAATTCTATATATAGCTAGAACATATATGTAGCCAATCATTCATATACATACACATATCAGCTAATCAGATGGCCTTCAAATCATCACTTCTCTTTACTTTCCTCTTGATTTCTGCAATCTCAGCCCCCATCGCTCAATCCCAGCTTGGTCTAATCGGTCAACTCCTTGGTTTGATCCGCATCACAGGCACCGTCTTCTGCACCTCCAATGGCAATCTTAATGTCGGTGTAAATGCCTCATCAACCCCTGTTTTCCCTAGTAAGTACTTTAACTGATCTCTACTCTCACATACACATATACATATACGTATATACATATACATATGCACTGCAAAATTTCAGATGCTGGTGTGCAGCTGCAATGCGGTGGAAAGGTGGTGTCGAGTGCAACAACAAACGGGTCGGGTGTGTTCTCGATGGTCTTGGATCCGCTACAGTATATACTTTCATCGGTGCTGGCTAACTGCAAGCTCGCCGTGACTACGCCGCTGGCCAAGTGCGACGCTAACTTGCCGGATCTCGGCCATTTGCTTTCTTCCTTGCAGTTCGTCGGAAACACGCTTCTTGGCCTCCTCAATGTCGCCAACCTCGTCCCTACGGGATTTCAATTCGACCCATCAACTTGAATACTTCGTTGGGAAACTATATATCTATATATATTCTTATGATGAACAGGACTGCATTATCTGTATATCAGACGTACGTACATACGACCATTCACCACTGCTAGTTATTAGGTAATTAGCAGTAGTACTTGGTAATGATATATATATATATATATATGAATAAGGTCATATTGTGTTTTAATTTAAGAAGTCCTTTATAATTAATTATATGTTTGTAATTGTAAGATATATATATATATATATATATGTTTGCTGATGTTAATATTGATTGTAATTTCCTTTTAATATTATAACTCACGAAAAATATTTTAATATTTTCCTTTTATAATAATAATAATAATAAATTTAATCATTTTTATGAATATATTATGATATGCGTTTTTATGCATTACTTGTTTAATATAGCGTCAAATATTAAGATAAAAGAAAGCCGGCACGAATAAGACAATTTTTATACCCGAAAATGACGTGTCAAGACCCGAAGACCCGGCCGTCTACAAAATTAGGCCCAACCCAACAACCGTCTCCCTCTGTATATAAACACCACTTACAAAACCCTAATTCCCCCCCCAACCTCATTAACGCCATATTTTGCAGGAGGGAGGGAGGGAGTGAGTGAGCCACTTACTCCATTACCTATCTAGCTGCTGCGAAGTTTTTCTTCTTCAGAATTTGCTTCTAAGAAGAAGAGCTTTTTGCAGCAGCTACTACATATATTGTATATATCTCTAATCCATTACGAATTACATATATAATAAATAAGAAATGGCTCGCGCTTTATCAGCTGGTGCTATGTTTGTTTCTGCTTCGTTTTCTCGTCGTCCTTCTCTCTCAATCTTCCGGTGAGTCAACTCGGTCTTCTCTACATTTATTTCTTTCTCGTCACTTTCGAATTTCCTGCTCTATTTTTAAACATTTCGCCTTTATTTTTTAATTAAATTATATATTGCTTGTGAGAATAAATAATTAATAAAATTGTTGAAGCTTGGTAATGGCGGGATGATGATTAGTGTGAATAATTACAGGAAAGGTTACTCAGCTGTGTCACACGGGGTTGAGACTGGCAGGTCGGGTCGGGTAGGGTCCAAAAATCCTACGGTGAGGAAGCCCGAAGAGATGGCTATGATGAAGGAAGAGTCTGGAGCCTCCTCAGCTTGGGCTCCGGATCCAGTGACGGGATACTACAGACCTGAAAATCGTGCGATGGAGATCGGCGCGGCGGAGCTTCGGGAGATGCTTTTGAATCAGAAGGTGAAGTAGCAGTAGCAGTAGTAGTGTTGGATATTGATGAATTCGTTCTGATTTTGGGGTGTTCTCTTGATGATTCTCTGTTTGTTTCTTTTTTTAATATTTAAAATCATATTGTTTAATTTTTTTATTTTTTTATTTTTGAAAAATTAATTATTCAATTTTTAAATCTATATAATTTAATCTAAACTCATATATTTTACGTATTTAAATTAATAATATATATTAAGTAATTAAAAATTAAATTATAATATAATTTTTAAAAAAGTAAAAAGCGGGGTGGGCCCCACATGGAGCCTTGGACGATTCACAGTTCAGAAGTCATAATTACTTGGTAAGACAATCGAATAATGCTTTTCAACTAATCATGATAAGATTCTATGTTTAACATGATAAAGATTGATTTAGACTTCCCATTTGCTCAACTAAATCTAATTTTACATAAAACTATATCTGAATTTAATTTTTAATTTTTCTTTTTTTAAAAAAAAAAAAAAAAAAAACTAAACTGAGGGTATGCATTCATAAATAGTTTCTTGAAAATTTCTTACAAATGTAAACAAAGATGAGGTCGTTCAAATGAAATTGAGTTCATAACTCAAATTTTTTGAAAAAATTATATCATTATCTAAACAGATTCTAAAAATGTAAATAAATTAAGAAATTTATTCAATCAGCATATAATCCAATTGAAATGATCTTGAGAGAATACATTGAAATCTAACTATCAAGATAAGGATGTCAACTAAATGATTCTTGAATTGTCCCATTTTTTTGAAGAAATTTCGGATTGAAGTTGGGACCCATTCCCTGCTTGTTTATAAAATAGAGATACATGTAAGTATATATATATATGTATATTTGAGTTTAAAATATTTAAAGGACTCAATTGTATACAGATGATATTCACACTCAAAAAGGAATCTCTTTGAAGGTAATCTCAATTCAATCCTTAATTACTTTTCCTCACCAAAATTTGTCACTGCTTTAGTATGTTGGTTAGTCTCATTAGGGTGTTTACCTTCGTCTCGTTTGCAGTGATCTAAGAGAGTAATTTGTATATGATGAAAATATTAAAAGGGATGTTATAAATACTAAAAAATATATATAAAATACTATATATTAAAAATATATCGGCACTACCACCTAGGGGAATAAAAACTTTTTCTGCCCATCACAATCTTACTCACCTGTACTCAGTCCATAAAGATTGTAAAGAGGCAAATAAATCAAACTTTTATATACCCATTTTTTGCTACCTACTTTAAAACCTAATAGTTTCTTAATCCAAACGATTGAAACGGTGCCGTAGTGCAGATGGTAGATTTTTCCAAATTGACAAGTCCGGGTAGTTAGCAAGCACCAATTTAAGGCTAGGTATTGTCGCTATCAATCAATCCGGGGTCAAAAGAGAAATGAATGAATAGAAGATACAAAACACACTTGCTATGTTTGAGTTGAATTAATGCTCTTGTACTGCGTCGTTTTGCATTGGATCATTATCCACATATTATGTACCCCACTTTTTTAAATTTTTAATTATTTAATTTATAAAACTTTAAAATAATAAAAATAAATGAAATGATCACCCAATAATTTTCAAAAATTGTCAAATTTGAGACATGGAGGCACCACCACAGCCGTTGATTTTGATCAGTCGCTTGACCATAACCGATAATTGGGCAGCAACCCTATTTCCAATTGCCCCACTATTTTTCCAATCTTTCATTTTCTAATAAATAATTTTGAACCCGAAGAAAAAAGATTGCCTGAAAATTGAGGATCTAATTTTGTTAAGTAGGACCCACACGGGCTTAAACCATTAGGTGTAAATGGTCGAGCCAGACTCGGACTCATGGAGCCACTTAGGGTCCCCCTCCGTTCTGGCCCAATAATCATCACGAGCACTGTTTTATCCGAAACCAAACTGAAGAACAAAACGACACCGCTTCGAACAGGGGAGTTTTGGGTTTTGAATATGATGTGCTAACAAATATGTTTGAAATCTTGGGTCCAAATGATAATATTTAAAAACCCTAACCCTAAACCACACAAATTAAACCTCTTCCCACCTCACAATCCCAATTATTTTCCCCATCTTGTTAAATATTTAATATTTTTAACTATAAATAAAATAATGCAGCACAATGGTACCAATTCATTCAACTACAAAGCAAAAATTTTCAATTTTAGAATCAACTCGGTATAACCCGACTAACTAACTCGATGTAACCGAATCGATTTTATTACTTAGTTGGGTGAAATATGTTGGTTCAATTTAGAACCGATAATGATCGACAGAACTATATATCTTTAGGGCTTAAAAGAAGAGAAAAAGAAGAGGGATTAAAAAGTTTGCACCTTTCCAATGCCCCAAATCTAGCTATTCTCCGAGTATCTTTTTCATATCAAACAATCCAAGTGTTAAGTGGGTACCCAGCAGAGCAAAAGGCAAATCTAAGTCAAGCCTTTGGGGGGGGGTTAAAAAGAAAAGATACATATTATCATATGTACATATATATATATATATTATAAAATATTATATGTACATGTATATTTATATGTAAATATATGGGTCCACAAATTAATGTTCTGAGCCAATAGAAGTGTCCCCCGCGGAACAGCTTTTCTCCTGTCTCTTTGCAATCCTGTACTTCATTCAGGACTCAAAGGTCTTGCTATCATCATGATTCTTTTCATTTATTTCTCAAACCCACATAATAAAAATAACTCATTATTATTACCCAAAATTTATAATATCACCCACCGAGTAAAATTAAAAACCCCAAAAAAAAATATTTTTTTAAAAAAATGAATAACCATTATGGCATAATTATGCAAGAAATCATATAATATATTGAAAACAGGATAAGATATTCTATAACTTACAAAAATGATCGGTCAAGATTGTAGCTGACTTGTGTTGAACGGCTGAGATTGTGAAGTAATAATCAATACCCTTATTATTATTATTATTATTTAAAAATTATATATAACGTGTATATATATATATATATATAAAGGGCAAAAATAAAGTGATAATAGTATCAGAGTGGAATCAAAACCAAGTTGGATTAACAGTACTGCAATCTTTTAATATCCCTGGCAAGACAACTCACAACGTTCATTGTCATTTGCAGAGAACAGCAGAATATATATATATATATATATATATGTAAATGGGTAATATCCATTGGTTTTGTCAACATGTTTATACAACCTTATAAGTAAATCACTCTCATACTCCCACTCCATATTATTAATATTCTTCTTATGGTTATCTTCCCAACTCTCTTTTGAACAAGATTGGAGAATTTTTTTCTCACAAATTTCTTTTCCCGCGGGATTAGTTTCTCATTGACTGAATTGATTCACATTTCTTCTCACTAAATAATTTTTCTTTAACTGAATTGGTTTGAATTTCTCTCAACAAATGGATTAGTCCATCTGAGCTGGTTCGTGTATGATTCGCTTCATTCGAATCGAAATGTTCCCTCTCTATAGGATTTAGACCTTGTCTATGATTCTTGGTCCAAGATTTCTCACCACCTGCATTCCCATAGTGAATTCTATTCTCTCTATTGTGTTCAATGTTCGTGTTTCTAGTGTATTTGTTGCTCGAGTTTCGTTCTCTTGGTGCAAGATTCGCTTCGTGGGTAATCTGGTTTTAATCGAACAAACGAACAATCGCTCTGATCCAAATTCATTCACAATGTGCTCTTTCTACAAGATTAAGACCTTGTACGATAACAAAACAAATGAGTTTCAACCATATAACATTGAATAGCATGTTATATTGACCCAAGTAAACTTCACTACTTAGCTTTTTTTGGAAAAAAAAACCCTAAAGCAAGGAGTTCAATGCCTTAAACTGAATCAAAATGGTCAATGTTTGATCTGTTTGTTCTTAAAAAAAAAAAAAAGAAGAATCAAAACCAAGAACTTCCAGTGAGTCGTATGCCAATAAGCATGTGTATGCATGTGATTAATGAGTAAAACTTGCACATTACTTCTCATAAAATATTACTTAACAAATAAAAAAAAAACATTCAACTGTTTTTTCCCCCATTAACATCAACATACAGCTCATGAATTAATAAACACTGATACAATTTTTATCAATACAAATCCCCAGTCAAAATCAACTCATCAATCCATCTGCAAGATTCACCTGGGGCTACCTATATCATACTATTCCATCACTGCTACAATTACTCGTAAAAGAAAAATATATATATATAAAGACAAAAGTATGAACTTCAAATATGGAATTTCAGACCAATATAAGATGATTAATTAACACAGAAAGATAAATAAACAAGTAATTAACCAAATTTAATTTGTATTGTAAGCCCAAATTGCCTTCTGATCATCGGATTCCGGTTAGCTTCTGACAGCCAACAATGAAGGAATTGCAGACAAATTAGGAGTATTCTTACTGTTAGCTTCTCTAATGGTGTGTTCTCTTTTCCCATCTTTCGAACTCGGTCTGCTAAAAGCTCTCATTGGACTAGCAAAAGCCCATGTCCAACTTCTACTTCTGCCATGAGAGAGAGCTCCAGGTCCTGCTGATACGACGCCGTTTGACTTTCCGTTCACCTCCTCGGCTGAAGTCGATACCCAGTAAGACGAAGAGGAAGATGATGATGATGAAGATGTCATGATAAACCCGCTGAAAATCCCACCGCACTTGACTCTCTCTTTCATGGCGGATGATGACGACGACGACGAAGAACAGGATACCTTGGGTTTGCCTTCTCTCTGCGATTCCACTCGCCGGAGAGTGCAATCGCCCAGCCCGGTTGAGATTCTCTCGAAGAAATCACCGGAGAAGCTCCGGCTTCCGCAGCCTACAGATCTGGATCTTGACACCTTCCTCTCGAACGACGACGCCGACGCCGACACGGTGGCCTGGCTACTGGGACTGTCATCGTCTTCCTCGACGACAACGATGTTACCACCTTTCTTTGACAGAGATGAAACCAGGCACTTCTCTTTTGATTTCATAACAGACCCATTTGTTACTGTTGGCGCCATTGACGCTACCCTTTCCATTTTTTTGGTGGAAGCCGATTTTGAAGAAGAAAGATACAGAAACGACCAAAACCCACCTCGTTTCCTAGGGCTGAAATCTTGATCATGGCAATCATCGGTACCGGAACTTGCAGAAACATCAAAGAAATGTCTAGTTCTAGGAGTATGAGTCGATTTACTTCTCTTGAAAACAACATCAGACGCCGCCGGACGATGATCAGACGATGCCGCCATGATCTTCTTCTTCTTCTTCGCCATGAGAAAAGGAATCCTCGCCCTCCTAGTACAATACTCCCGACTACGACCACCATCACTGGGACCAGTACTCTTGGTGGACGCACGAACTGAAAGGGAGAGAGAAAGGGAAGAAGAAGAAGTAGTAGCTGCAGTAGTAGTAGCAGCAAGGGCAGAAGTAAGGATACCGGCGCCGGCCCCAAGAGAAACAGAGGGAAGATCAGATCTGAAAGAAGGAGAGGAAGAAGAAGAAGAAGAGAGACGAATGGGTAATGGGAAAGAAGATGAAACGAGCTTGCCAAGCTTTTCTTGGAGGCAAAAAGCACAGATCCCACCTGGGTTGTTTCTGTAAGGATGATCACTGCATTGCATTCCATCCGCCATGTCTTGGTCTTCTCCAACACCAACTCTTCCTCCTCCACCACCACCTTTGATCCCGTCCATCATCTGAAGAAAATCTTTTGAAGATTCTTTTCAATCTTTGAGTTGGAAGTAAGAGCTGTTGGTGAGGTTTTCTTCTTTTGAGACAGAGAGAGATGGGAACAGAAGAAGGGAAACAGGAGGTCAGAGTGTGGAAAAATAAATTATAAGCATGCAAGAAAGGGTGTAGGTGTAGGGGGTGACTCCCCAGGTGCACGTGCACCACTGACTTAACCCTCCTCCATTTTATCTCATAAAATAATATATATATATATATTATATACATATCAACATATAATATATATATATATATACATATTACTGTATATATAAGGGGCCTAGCCGTGAGGGATGGCTTTGCAGCAGTAAATGGCTCTCGACTGGGTCGAAATTGTGACATGCAAGCCTTACTTGTCCCCAAATTTTAGTATATATATATATAAATATAAAAATAATAATACAAGCTTATGTACATATATGGATATACATATTCATTGTATGTCTCTACCAGGAAAATATGTAAACCTCCGGAGTCATATTTATTAAACACCTCCTATTACATTGAAACAGTAAGAAATTATAATTACATATTTTATTTAAATTATATAAATTAAATATTTTATAACCAAAAAAACAGTAAGAAATTCTTAAAAAAAAAAAAAACAAAACCAATAATATAAAAAATAGGAAAAAAAAATCTGCAATCTGCGTAAGCTAGATTCCTTCACTGTCACTAGATAATTATAATTATAATTATTATTATTGTAATTATTATTATTAATAGATTGTTACAAAAATAATTAATCAATTCTCTAAAACGCCACGTGTCAGCCCGTATAGGTATCGTGCTCAGAGCTTAATTACAGCGCCGGCTGCTGCCCCTGTCTCTGCTCGCTGCTCACCTCGATGGGTTAATAAATGTATTAATAATAATGTTAATAATAAATAATAAAATATTATTTATATATTTTTAAAATATATATTAATAATGAGGTCATCACACAGAGGAAGTTGACACTTGGAAAGTGGGGCCCTTTGGTTTTTGTCACAAGTGACCGACCCTATAAATTCAGTGAATATAAGTTGCTGTAAAACTAATAAATATTCGGGATTTTATTATTATTTTTTTAATAGATAACGAGTAGAGATAAACCAAGTATTATTTATAGTGGAAAAATATTGAATTTACTTCAATCAATATATAATATAAAATTTGTTGTATATTAATACAGTTTGTATTTTTAAGAAATTATATTTTGATATATATTTTTTTTAAATTGTGAGTTTAATTTTGATAATATTATAATTTGAAAGTTTATGTATATAAATTATCTCATTAATGAATATATAAATTTATTTATAAAATATTTTATAGGGTAATATCTTTTGACAAATGAATATAATATAATACATATAGTAGACAATACACTTTTAGAATTATTTCAGAAAAATTCAACCCCGATGTAGAAAAAAAGTGACTAAAAATTATATTGTCACGAAGAAAGTTGAACTGAGCATTCAGAGACATATTTGATTATTGGCCAAATCATTTCTTGTCATTTAGTATTTTATCATTTTGTAATTAAGCTTAGGTTAGCCCCATCAAATAATGATATCACATGCATGATCTTGGATCATCGACCGTTGGATTAAGACCCCACATGGCAAGGATGGGGATCTTCACTGTTTTTGTCTTTTCTGCACGCTTTGTTCATGTTTGTGTATGTGTATGTATGCAAACCCCGCGAGTCAGTGACGGTGAGGAATGGATGATCAATTTCCATTTCCTCTTGTTTGATTCGCCCGTCAGTTAACGGAAGGGTTGTCTTGTGTGTGGTTGGTGGAGTTGGGAACGTGATATCCATACCACATGATTAGAAATTGAAAAGCGTTCTTATCCGTTGGATTCTTTTACTTTCACAGCACATCTGATGCGACCTCACAATTATATCTTGCCCGTTAATTATTGTCTTCTCGTTTTGGTCAAAAATCTCAACGGCTCACCGTCTTCCTCATCACTTTATTTATTAATTAATCATTCAAATTAAATCTAATCCAGATCTTAATTTCATGTATCTAAATATAAATTTAATAAATAAATAAATATATATATATATATATTTAATCTGCATCATATAGACAGTTAAATTATTAAATTCCAATCAAGTTCCCCAAATCTTTTTAAAATACATAAAATAAAATATATATGTGTGAAAGAAATACACACCCATTCCCATATATATGGGTGTGTGTGAATACATATCTTACAATATATATATCTTATAAGGGGCCTTTTCTGAGCCCACTTTACAATATATATATATATGTTAAAGAAATACACACCCCATACCCATATATATGGGTGTGTTTAATATATATATATATATATATCTTATAAGGTGCCTTTTTTGAGCCCAATACATAAAATAAAAAGCCCAACAATATTGTAGAACGATCCAATGAGTATAAAATTGATCCAAATTGAATTTAAATTAAGCCAATTGTAAATCTGATTATAAAATTTATCCAGTAGTAGATTATACATAAAAATTATAATTAAATTTTAATTATATATTAAAAATATAATAGAATGACCCAAATGGAGATATAAGTATATTTATTTTTGGATGTATATAATTCCTGCAATAATTAAATTTTAAAAAAATTTTGAGCAAAGATTAGACTAATTAAATTGTTAATGCACATAGAATGAGTCATATACATAGTGAGATACTGAAGATTAAATACAATTGTTTTGAATCTACGAACATTATATTATTGGTCGCTTAAGACTTTATTAAGAAATAAATAACACTACTAGCTATTCATATTAGATTCTCGAACTTTAAAAGATAATAGAAGAGAATTGGTAAATTGTAAGTTAACACTTTACTATTTATATATATATATATGTATATATTGAATACGATTTAACTTTAATTTATATTTTTATAATAAGTTATTAAAATACTATTAAACTTTTAACATTTATTACAATTTAATCTTATTTTAAAGTAAAATTAATATTTTTTTTTTATGATTCTTCATATTACGATAATGCATAGGCTCGTCCAATCGGATAA